ATTATATTAACAGAAAAGAAAATAGAAACCCGTTAAAAATGAGCGAGAAAATATTTCAAAAGTTCAAATGCAAACACAGTCAATCTTCTTCACAGACACCAGTCCACAGGTTTTTAAATGCTTTAACAAGGAGCATTGTTTTACAAATCTTATTTTGGCAGATTTCATAAAACATATATGGTATCAGCACAGTTGCGTAAGGAGAGAATATGCATTCCAAGGGTGAAGCATAAAGATAAATCTGATAACTGTGTTTTCAAAATCCTAAAATGAAAGTCAATAAATTGTGGCCGTGTTTAAAATGCATGCACTCAACAATTCTATGAACTTAATTCATTTCATACATTCAAGTTGGGAAGAAATATATATCATTTCTTTCACCAAAGTCTTTCTGTTACCTGACGAAGAGAAAGAAGTTTGTGTCAAATGTTAAACAATGTAATACTACAGAAATCGGTCTAAAGTCCATTTTAATTGGGTTTTTTTAAGTTTCATTCCAAATATTTTCATATCAAAAAGCTGCATAATAATATTGAACATCCACCAAAATTCATTCAGTCATTAGGACTGCCACTACAGATGCAACTGTCAGTTTTTAATGATTTTTTGCAGTCAGGACTAAGGGGACAGACAGATTTTGAGAACTCTGACGTCAATGCAGACCAATTTGATAACTGATTTTCAATTGTTGGTTCTTTGGGGTTTTTTAAAGTCATAATTTGTATAATGTAAAAAAATAATTGATGGCCTTAGAACATTTTGCTGTAGGTTTAATTTTGCTAAAAAATGGTATTTAGATAATTGATTATACGTACTTCAGTCTCTCTTGGTATTACCTACCTCATATTAACGCGATATATATATCTCACCCGAAGGCAAGACTCTATGATCCTGACAACACATCTGACGACATGTGATGACTGATGAATAAAGGAGATATGTTTACGTGAAAGACTAGTCCAAATAATTATGACGTCTTAAAAGGCTATTTTATTTTTTTTCATTGAAACCTTCTCTCAATCCCTCAAGAAAGACGTCACTAAAACAATAAAAATATCATTTCAAGACGTCATTTTTCCACTGGTGACAGACTTGCGGTTACACTTACAGGTACATCAATATGAGTAAAACAACTTTTAAATTACATTTGTTCAAAATTTAAGAATAAATTTACATTAGGTTGATTTAAATCATATTAGTATAAAGATCCAGCTACCTATTCTGCTTCATTGAGCATCAAATGCACTAGAAATGATCATGGTACTGATGCTGGAAAAATCACCGGATATAACAATTTTAAGCCATAAATGCAATACGGAATTGAGTGAAAAATCCGCTTTCTGAGAAAAATGCAGAGATACCCTCCTAAGCTACAAAAGAAGCTTTAATTTCACTGTTGATGTTAATTTTTTATCATAAAAATATGTTAATGTGAAATTGGTTATTTGTGCTATGATATACTTATAATTTTTGTCTATCAATTTCTCATTAGCATATTTTTTCACAGCTAAGAAACACTGATGATGTCACCTATTTTTTTTTATCGCACTACACTGGGACTAGTCAATATATTATGTCCCAGCACAAGGAAGTATGTTAGTTATACGTCCTTGCCCCGCACTACACAAGGGTTTTGATTGTATAAAAAACTTGCACGTCAGTAAACAGGTAAACGTTATTTTTGTTTTTGTTCACTGCCGTGAACATTTCTTCTTCATCTATCCATTATTTATTTGTGATGCATAGTGACCACTATCATCATGTGACCATTACATAATTTCTCAGTATCATAGTCCCAAAGCTGACTTATTATACCATAATGAGCACGATAAATACCATAATGGTACTATGTGTCTCGTGGGACATACTATTTGCTAGTTTATTAGGTTCCAAATATCTCTCGAATTGCAACGATGCAGGAAGCTACATTGGGTCATGGGACAATAGGCTTCAGTATTGGTAAAAGCTGAGACTACTATAACACATGCGTTATAGTAGTCTCAGGTAAAAGGAAGTTTTCAGTATCTCGGTTCCCCTTATATATCCCGTCTCAAACTGTTATCATGTGAATTAAAAAATGCAATTTTGTTCACAGTTTTTAACTTGAAAAGAATATAGAATAAATCTCCAAGGTTTATTTTGAAACTCGATGGATATATAGCAATATGTAGTATAAAAACTAGCTTGATTAAATATTAATTTCGTTTGGCAAAGTCAGTATTTGATGATACAACCAAATATCAAGTACATTACGGAAGTAGAGTAGATTAATCTTCGAGAGAGACTAGACAGTTCTCAAATTTTTGGTGAAATTTAAAAAATATCCACGCAATCAGAATTGGATTTGCTTTGCAATATTAATTTTCTGGGAAAATATCCACGTAACCTGAACATATGGGGAAAACTAAATTAGTGTGTTTTGTGTATGCATATGCTAAGATGAATATTATAGATTGGTGTTTCACATCCAGTGGCAATTATTACATGAATAGAACATGTTAATTTGATATGAATACAAATCCCTGATTTGTACTACTAACCAACAAGCTGAGTTAATTTTTTACGTGATAAAATTGAGAATGGAATGTGTCAAAGAGGCAACAACCCGACCAAAGAGAAGAAAACAGCCCAAGGCCACCAATGGGTCTTCAACGCAGCGAGAAAATCACGTACCCGAAGGCTATCTTCAGCTAGCACCTACACGATAATGTATAAAAGTTTAGCGAAATGGACGCCAAACTAAGCTTCGAAACATACAAATGATAGTTTAAAGCCAATTGAATTTAGAGTAGAAATACTTAAAATTCGGACGAGTAGGGCGAGGGAGAATAGGCATGAAATTTGAAAATTGAAAGTGTATATGGATGGGTAGAAAGCTCAAATTTAAACATCACCATGCGCATGTACGATCCAAACTTATATAAAACGTAAAAAATAAAAAGACGTGGTATGATTGTAAACGAGACAACTATCCAACATAGTCCAAATAAAGAGGATGTAAACAACCAGAGGTCATCGCATTGCCTTAAACAATGAACAAAAAGCCCTAGACATGAAACAGTGTGAAATAATTAAAACGAGAAAACCAACGGCCTGTTTTATGTTAAAACTATGATATTACTTTATTCTTTTACAGAAACTGGTTGAGAAAAAGAAGGGCCACAAGAGATCTATCAGGCATTAAATAATAAATTCAATGTCATTTAGGGTGTCAGAAAAATCAGAGACATATATATATGTCTCTGGAAAAATGCATCAACATTTAAAGAACTATGGTCAAGAACGGGCCAATCAACTTTGTGAAGGATGGGAAAGCTGGAATGCCACTGGAAAATAAGGATATATAGAATATGGACAGAATTACAACAGGACATCTACGCACCCCTCAAAGAGTTAGTGCAAGGGTTTATAACGTGTAGAGAACGTGGCAATGGTATTACTGTCGGTCGGAAGAAGACCAAGGGATAACCATATTTCTATATACCACAGTGAACTCTTGGGTTGTGACGGATTTTAATATGATAACTTTAAATGTTACTAGAGAAATCTCACTATAGAGTTATCTATAAATATCAGTATTCTGAGAAATTTTTGAAACAAGCAATGTATATGTTAAACATTAATAAATCAGTTACAGTGTGTACCTCCGAAACAAGTACAAAGGCAAAGACATCGGACACACAAGTTTTACAATGTCCTCTCTTCTGGAGTAAGATCATTTGTTGTGTCTTGCTTAGATATGAAAATATATGTCTATGTCATGTATGTGCAAATTGATTTAAAAGTGCCTTTAAATGCAAAATGTTGATATATAGTTTGACCTAGTTGAATATACGACTATCAATAGTTATTATTGATATAATGATGTGTGATCGGCCTTTTTCTCTTTAAACTCAAATGTGTATAAATATTGTTTTTTCACTTGGCCACTTAACTTTTTGCTGAAATAACAAAACATGATTAGGTTCGGAATATTCCTTAACGGCTACCTATATTGAAAATCTTAATTCACCATATCTGGCGGTGAAACCTACAGAACTTAAGGATGTTCGCTCCTTTGTTTCAAAATAACAAGCATTTTGAAAGATTGTTATAAATTGATAGTATATATATATAACGAAACTTAAAAAGTAGAAAAAAATTATAGGTTCGTGTCCTTGTTTTTGAGATATAAGATCATATGATCTATTGAAAATTTGGCAGGAAATGATTCTCTCTAGATTTTTCATATATTTAACATTGGCACCTTTTTTCATTCGAAAACTATGAAAAAAATTAATAAGAGTTTTATAAGATTTTCAAATTTGGCTTATTAAACTATTTGTAATAAAACTATGAAAAGAAAAGTAGGGATTAGCGGCCAAAATTTTGAATAGCACTACATAGATAAAACCAGAGGATTCCGAATATCTAACAAAAATTCAAAAACAAGAGGAGCGAACATCCTTAAACTATCTGGGTTCTTTCAACAGAATTGACACATTTTAAAGCCGATAGTGTAAGATCGTGAGTCAAATAAACTGTCAACATTTTTCAACTAAAATGTTGTCAAAAGGTCTTAACTTCATGAACTTTCGATGCTTGCAAGCAACGAATTATATTTTGCAAGTTGTTCCTGTCTATGGTTCCATCTTGTAACAGGTGCGTGAGTACTTATATATATAGGCTAAGCCTGTGGCTAACCTATAGCAATCCAACAGAAATTTGAGAGCAATGAAATCGTTTGTTGTTTTTTTTAATTACGCTAATACCTTTCTACTACTTCTTTAAATTCGAAATTCGTTATGATATGCAACAAGGAAATTAGAATATTTTATATAATTAACATTCCCAAAACTGAGTAAACAGCTAGCACATAACTGCATCTTTCTAGGACACTCACATTATTATTTGCCTTCAACATTGTGAAGAGAGAGGTACATAAAATGGGTGTCTGATTTTGCATTTGGAAGTTTTTATTCTAAATTAGCATTTAATTGCTATATAACACTCCCGCTTACCTTTTTGTATACCAAATGATTTGGATTGTCTTCTGGATTGATTTGGCCATTTCCGAACATAACATGTAATGCATTAGGCAAAGACTCAGTTCTTTGCTTATATCTTGGCGTCAGAGCCATTTCCTTATGCAGAACTAAACTACACATCAATAATCATTATGCCAATACAGCTTTATATCTCCAAGATCTCGCAACTCTTTTAAGATTCTTTTAAAATCACATTTCATAGAAACATATGTCACAAAAACTATAATACTGAAGGGGTAAACTAAACAATATTCCACTCAACTTTCCAAAAATTATTTGTGGATACTTTTCGTTGTAGCTTCATTTTACATCCTTTAAAGTTTATTTTTCTCATCTTGTTACAGTGTTTAGAGTTTGCATTTTTATTATGTAAATCCTCGGAACAAGTTCTCGTCTGCTTATTTCCATCACATCCTTGCAATTCAATAACTTCCGGTGATCAGTGAGATTAATTAGACCTCATTAAAGCTTCAGAAAATGATAATCAGCTGTTGTTTATATGTACATGGGTTTTCCCGTAGCATACTATAATATAAATGGTACATTAATCCGTCCAGAAAAAACAACATAAAGTACTTATACCGACCATTTTCAAAGAACACTCCGCACACTGCTCTGGTCGCTAATTATGTCTTTTAGAGCCATTCTTCTTAAAGTAAAGGAATCTCGCTACCACTGACTGAACTGAGGATCGATCAATCTTTAGCAGATTTAATATCGTCTGCTTCTTAGTCTACTTATGCATATATCTAATAATATCCCCCAATGTACAACATTTGTTTGTATTTTTTCCAAGCGTGTTCAATATTAGTATTGGTCGTTAATGACTGATCGGTTTGGTGTACTTGCAGTTATAGAATTCATCTAATATTTATTCCAATATGTGCTATGTAAATATCGCCATTTTGAATTGGAATAAATTAATGATTTTTGAATCATCTGGTAACATTGTGTGAATATTCAGTATTGAAAAGATCATTTTGAAGTTAAGCACGTTCACCGAGAACGCACGTGTGTGTGAGTGTGTTTATACTGTCGATTTGTGTTATCATATAACTATCACAAGAATAATAATCAAATAATATTTATGATATATTGCATTAACCAAGAACATAAGATTTAACTATAAAACAGAGTGAATGTTGTTTTGAATGTAGAATTAAAACTTAAGATTTTGCATCAAAAGGCCTGAATCAACTGCTACTTTCTAGGTTTGACAACAGTTTTGGAATCACGAAAAGGAATCTGATTTTGATCTTTACTAAGTTATCATTTACATATGTGTTCCAACAGATATTCTATATATACTGCTTTAAAATACAATCACCACACAATTAACCTGTTCTTCGTTAAGCGTTTCATAGAAATTAAGTTTCATTGCTGCAAGCTAAAAGTTCTTTTTATCGTTGTTCTTTTGGCCATTAACAAGAATTTGTATTGTTAAAACATACGTCCGTGCTACTATAAAATAAATGAAAATGTGCACGCCTAAAGAGCCTTGTGAGTGTTACAAAATGAAATTGTTTCTAGTGTTTTTTTTTCCTAATTTCAAATTCTGTTTAAATATTTTCTGTTTTTCATCGTCATGGGTATTACAAGCTGTAATCTCATCCCTATAGGATAGGGAGTATTTATCCTTTTTGAGTAATAATTTACCTGTTGGTACAGCACTATAAAAGTCTGATCAGTAATCAAAGGGAGACAACTACATCGGAGTTGAGGGAAAGACTTGTCATTTTGTCCTGTCTTGTGTTTTCTCTTTGAAGTGTTTAATAGAAGGTTGTTTACTTCTGTATTTAGGTTGTTTTGGGGTTTTTTCTAAAGGGGGAAGGGGAGTTGTTTTGCATGGCAGTGTATATTAAATTCACAAAGCTATTACTATGGCTGAAATAGATAAATGGAAGAGAAGTCGAGAATCCTCGTACACGATTTTCTTTGGTGTATGCCACTTATTTTTTTTTAATGAAGAGAAGGATAATATTGTTTTATACAAAAAAGTTGTGCACATGTTACCTGAAAATTTTGAGATTGATCGTCTTCTGTCACCACGCAATCTAGAAATTCAATAATTTTATGTATGTGACAGAATTGCATCATATGAATTTCTTTCAAAATGTTTTTGAGAGGATATCCATCGGTTACAGGGTTAAAACAAAAATTGAACGGCAAATTTCACAACGCTGTACGGTGTATTGTCGAAATGTGCCTCTTGTGCAGTGAAATAGGTACTGTTAATGTTACTACAGTAATATTAATATAAAACTATATTAAATTATAGAAAAATATTGAGTAAATACCACTGATATATAAAGTAATGTTGCAATTCGAAATACTTGCTATAGCAAATAAAAGGTACAGACATTAGGGATTCTTATAGTGTATAATCATTAGTGTACGATCATCTATATGTCTATATGGGGAGCTCAGAATAGTTCTTTTAAAAATACCATTGATCATTCTTGATTTAAAAAATAACTTAACAAATGGAGAATGTGTCCGTGGGACAAAGATGATGCCCTTGCTTGAATATAATATTACTCGAACTTGATCTGAGTGTTGTGGTAATCAGCATTGTGTATAAGTTGCACAACATTTTGTTGAGGCAAAGTTAAAATTTAGACAACGGAAATAAAATGGACGTACATACGGACGGACGGACGGACGAACAAGGATAACACTTGATGCCCCTCCGGTGACGGCGGGGGCAAAACAAATAAATCTGAGAAAGAAACAAATGACCATTAGCAAAGCTTCCAAAATTAGGACAGGCACATCGACATTTAATTCAGCTGCAAATACGTATAACCCTACTCTTATGGTTCCTTTCCTGGTTTGTCATATCGGAGAAGTCAAATTAAGAAGTATTTATAAGTGTTACGTATGGTTGATACCGTAAGAAAAAATACTAACCACTTACGTGAGGTCGTGGTAGTCGCGAATGAGGGAGATGGTGAGTACGACCCCGACATTTAGAAGTTAAGGTAAAGACTGTGTTACCGGGCAGGGTGGCATAAAACAATTGCTTTTGGATATCATATACAAAAGATTTTTGTCTCCTTTTCTGAATGCCATTGCAGCACAATTGATTTCGCAATCGCGAACAGCATATTTAGATCCGTGTCACCCATTGCATCTGCCGTAGTAGCCGGTAATTAGATGTAGGATAGAGGATAGAGAATTGGGCTAGTTTCAAACCGCACGTGTAAAAGAGAGGCGAAAGATACCAAAGGGACATTCAAACTCGTAAGTTGAAAAAAAAAACAGACAACGCCATGGCTTAAAAAGAAAAAGACAAACAGACAAACAACAGCACACAAAACACAACATAGAAAACCAAAGACTGGGCAACACGAACCCCATGTGTCGTTCCATAGTCATGAACTTAGCTCGTAGGGTCTTAATGTTTTAATACCGACTGATAATTTTATAGCAGTTTCATTAATTCCATTCATTAGTTTTAAGAGATACATACCATCCATCAGTGTATGTAAAGTGCGAATCCAGAAATACCATTTTCACTGTATATGCCATGAATTTCTGATGTAGAATGATAAATAAACAGACGAAAAATTTATGATTTTTGAATAGAATAATAAATAATATATCATATGGATTGTTTTTATACACTTGTGATATAGGATCATATAGGTAAGAGATGCAGACGGGTTTATATCGCACTTACAGCGATCAAGGTGTGAAATAATTACTAAAATAAGCAAATATTGAGAAATTTTCACTAACAGAGCGTGCAAGAGATTTAAAAGTAGCGGTAAAGTTTCATTTGCAGAAAAATGTACCCTTCAACGTGATTTATAATGTTGTATAACTTAAAACAAGTTTTGTTGTTCAGCTTGTTGATATTGAATCAAATTCCACTACGTTGTTTTTGTGATGCTATTCATGTTTACTGTCGAATAATGATACTAGACTTTCATTTTCACTGTAGGGCGATTCATTTCTATTGTATATGCGATGCATTTTCACAGAAGAATATTAATTAATTTTCATCACATAAAGTCGTTATTTAGGCGACTCATTAACAAAATTTATGAAGACAGAAGGATTGATTATATATGCATACTTAGTGTTTGAAAGTCTGATGTAATATATCAATAAATTCCGTAAAAATGGCATTTATTGCTAATATTGTCAATTATTTTTCTCTGATAATTTGTTAAAATCAGATCTATATGTAGGATTAGATTATTCTTTCCTATGACACGCTATCATTGAATACATATATCTTGGACAGCTAAGCCAATCCACGTCACCGAAAAAGCAGTTTTCGGTTTCGGTCTAAATATACAGCACATACTAATAAAACATCTTTAGAGCTATTTTCCTAATGCTTGTAGTTTAAAGTAGTAGTTGGCTTGCTTGCTTGCTTTGTTTGTATAAATTTTTGCTTAAGCATTGTAATTACGATTGAGAAAACATTTATACTTCAAGAGCAAGCAAGCCAACCAAACTGTTTAAATACAAGCATTGTGAAAATAGTTCCAATGGGTGCATCTGAGAGAACAAAGAGCAGTCACAAAAAGATCTTCATTTCACGATTGAGAGGGTGGTAACGTTTTTATCTCGCACAAACAATTGCCTTAAATTTGACGCTTGGATGACTGGATAATTGATTTTTATCATGCAATTTTATTTACATCTTATACAGTAAAGAAAGTTCGAGCAACAATCGAGTCACCTTAATTTATGTTTGAATTTTTGATAAATCGTTGTTACAAATAAGCAAATTCGTAATTGTAAGAATACAAGGATATATTTAATACAGTTTATTGTTACATGTTTAAATGGTTCTAAAACACGGATTATAACCGCCGTGCAATTGATTCCGGACGTTAATCGCTGCATCGTGAACCAATATTGGTAGATAGACCGTTCATTTTTTTTCACCAAAGACTAATTGACGTACTGTTCATGTAGTTAAGTATTCAATGCTTTTAAAAAAAAAGTGTACTGTTCCTGACAGCATTGTATAATATTTATATTACATGTACACCCTGTGACTATTTCAAATAGACAGGTCTGTGAATTACTTGTAAACATCGCGAAACAAACAGTATGTGTAACTCAAACTAAAATAAAAGATAGCCATTTCAATAGAAACAGCTAATTATGTTCTCGATCACGGTTTTACTTACGAACGGTACAGAACTATGACGAAAAAAAACACATACAGCAAACGTACAGAAATATATCGATGAACAGTACACAACTCACAATGTCCGGAGTCAGCCATAAGTTGGTTATACCCGTGTATATTCAAGTTATTATAAAAACATCTACGACTAGCGTGCATTGTTAATATCATCAATATTAAAGTCGCTTTAAGACTATTTTCAGTTGTTGCATGTCGAATTATCATATAAAACAACAATTAAAATTCATCGCACCTCCAAAAATTCCACATCAGAAATGATTGCACTTACAGTGATAATTCATCGCATCTATAGTCAAAATGAATCGCATTCAGTAATCAATATTATGGATTCAGCTGCTTTAATTACACTTTTTTGGACTTTATTCCTGATATTATACATTAGAAAGTTATATTCTAATGAAATTGTGTTAAAACATACATTCAAATCAATTAGTTCGTATTTTCAAAAAGTAAACAAACGCAGTTTTTCCCGACATCCTTTATTCTACAATAGACATACTCGCATACGACAGTGAAAATGAACAAACTGGATTCGCACTTTCTATACACTGATCCATGTTATACTTTTAGATCTACTTCTTTTATACAACCTACACTCCAAGAGTGACTGAGGTATGGGAAAAAAATCATTCTTTGACTTACCCGTCCGGCAGTAAATCCCCCCTAAAATGGAATGTCCGTTTGGTTGTACGGGATTTATTAATGTACAGTCA